GAGGACAGAAGACACCAGCGACTGAGAACCGAGTTACAGCTATCTGATTTATCCGTTTCTTTGTCCTCTTAGACCTCAGCTGTGAGGACAGCCACCTGCCTCCCTTGTCACCTCTTCCTGCCTGCCCTCTGGTGGGGAAGTACCAGAAGCAATAAAATGGCCAAAAGGTGGCGGCAGGAGGGAGAAGAACTGTCTCCGGTTCTCAGAGACAGCTTCCGGAAACAAACAGATCAGAACACCGTGCCTCGATGCCTCAGCTGCCTCCTGGTGCTGGGGATTACAGCCTTGCTGTAGACAGGTTTCATGACTTGCTGTTGGAAGGGCGTTATCATTTTCAATCAGAAGCACGCGTACTTAGCTTTCTCTGATACTTCCTGGCTAGAGACCAGAAAAAAAAATATTAATGATCAGTTTGTTCTGAATTAAAACAAAAAAAATTTTTTTTAAAGTAATCAAGAAAAGGAACTGTTGCATGACTACACGGAATGTACCCATGACTACACGGGAATATACCCATGACTACACAGGACATACCCATGACTATACGGGAACATACCTATGACTACACGGGAATGTACCCATGATTACACAGGACGTACCCATGACTATATGGGAACATACTCATGACTACACTGGAACATACCAATGACTACACGGGAATGTACCCATGGCTACACGGGAATGTACCCATGACTACACGGGACGTACCCAAGACTATACAGGAACATACTCATGACTACGCTGGAACATACCCTGATTATACAGGAATGTACCCATGACTACACGGGAATGAACCCTGACTACACGGGACGTACCCATGGCACAGAACAAACAGACAGAAGAGCTCCGGGAGGAAGCCGACCCTACCTGGAGAGGGAGAGCAGGAAGCTCACGCGGGAGGGTCTTGGAGGCCACTTAACCCCATTTTTCCCCAGAGACTCTTAAGTGTGGTAATTACTTTCTAGACTTGATCCTAGGTGTTTTGTTTTGGTTTTTGATTTTTTTTTTTTTTTGTAGCAGTGTTTAAATTCTATACAGACAAAAGCTAAGTAGGAGAAAGAACTGGTGTGTGGTTAGAGCCGTCCTTTGGAACCTGGTATGGAAACACGAGGTGAAGTTTCATGTCCAGTAAGAACGGCAAACGCTTGGTCAGTGGAAACTGTTCTCTGGACTCCTGGTGTTTGGACGGTCGGCTCTTTTAACCTTTCCTTTGCTCGCTGGCCTGTCTTGACCGTCTGTTTTTGCTTTCCTTTACGTTTATTTGTTGGGTACACGCTTGCCATGGCGCGCCTGTGGGGTCCCTTCTCTCCCTTATCGGGCGGAACTCCAACTTCACCATGCACACACCCTTCAGGCTGCTGCCTGACTCCAGAGCGTCCTCCCAGCACATTCATTCTTTCTAAATCTGTATTTACAGTATCAGTGAGCCCCAGGCTGGAGAGGTGGCCCCAGGGTTAAGAGCACATATTATTCTTGCTGAAGGACCTGAGTTCAATTCCCAGCACCCACGTCAGCAGGCTCACCAACTGCCTGTAACTCCAGCTCCAGGGGATATCACACCTATGGCCTCCCCAGGCGCCCACACACATGGCCTGCAGACAGACATATGTACATGATTAAAATTTTTTTATTTTAAAAAGAAGCCTGGTGGAACCTGGTATTGCACACTTTTAATCCCAGCACTCAAGAGGCAGAGGCAGGCGGATCTCTGTGAGTTTGAGGCCAGCCTGGTCTACAAAGTGAGTTCCAGGAAAGCTAGGACTATGTAGAGAAACCCTGTCTCAAAAACAAAACAACAAAGCCTGAGCCCCCCAACATACATAACTAAATAAATTTAAATTTTATTTAATTTAAAAATAAATAAGCAAAAATAACGTGGGCCACATGGGCTTTGCCTAGTGAGTTATTGTCACATCAGGTATAGAACATCTGTGACATGGACACCATCTACTGATCATTCACTAGCACTGAGTCTGATGAGCAAAAGAATATTGAAATCCCATCT